GTTCTATACAGCCACCCACGTCATAGGTTTGCATAGTTTACACACTTCTGGAAACCTTACACCAGGACTTCTTACACTTGTCCACTTGCAGTCCGTTTTCACCCGAGAATGACCCTAGGTACAGATACATAAAAAAGGTATGCAAGTCAAAATTTGCCAACAGTGTAACACAAAACAACCCCAAAATCCTCGTGGGTTTGAGTATTATATGCTTAGGAACAGCGGTAGGGAAATAGTAAAAGTCTTTGTGATCCAAATTAAACAATTGTGTTTCTATAAGAGCAGAAATTTGAGGCTGGAGCGTCGGTTCAGTGGTTGAGTACTTGTGCTCTTGCTGAAGGCCTGGGTTTGAGTTCCAGGATCATCTGTATCTTCAGGTCCAGGGTATCTGATCCCCTCTTCTAACCCCCACAGGCACCTGGCACACATGTGGTGTACAATGTACATAAAATAGATCTTCAGTGAAACCCTGTCTCGAAAAAACAAAAAAAAGATCTTTAAAAATTAGAAAAAGAGAAGAAATTTTGTGTGTTTAATAAAAACAATGAAGTTTCTGTGAATGGTGACACACACCTTTAATTTCAAGAGGCAGGAGAATCTTCGTGAGTTTGAGACCAGCTAGTCTACATAGTGAGTTCCAGGACAGCCAGGGCTCAGGACAACATAGAGAGATCATGTTAAAAAAATAATAATTATAAATAAATAAGGAAAAAGGAAAAATATTAAAGATGAAAAATAAGATTAACAAAACAAACTGGGTGGTGGTGGCACACGCCTTTAATACCAGCACTCAGAAGGCAGAGACAGGTGGATCTCTGTGAGTTTAAGGCCAGCCTGGTCTACAGAGTGAGTTCCAGGACTGGCTCCAAAACTACAGAGAACCCCTGTCTCAAAAGACACCAAAAGAAAAAAAAGATTAGCAGAACAAAAGCCCTGCAGTTCCTAACATATAGTGCATAGGTTTGAATCCAAGCCGAGGTGTTTGGGGCACTATGGTGTGATGAGCACAGAGCAATTGTCGGTGCTGTGTGTTTAGAACCAGGACGGCCATGAGGTCACAGTGCCACACAGGTGAGCACTGCCAGAAATTCCTCAGGTGCAATGCACATTTGATTTTGAACTAATTTTTAGTCCTTGGGCATTTATAAAATGTTTGCTGTTGACAAAGATTTCACAGCTGTCACGTATGGAGTCATGACCCACAGTCTAAGAACTGCTTCTACATTTTGTATATGAGCTAGCACATTATCACAGCTCTACAAATGGTTCTCTCTTTGTGTTTCGAGACAAGGTTTCTCTGTGCAACCCTGGCTATCCTGGAGCTTACTCTGTAGACCAGGCTGGCCTTGAACTCAAGAAATCTGCCTGCCTCTGCCTCCTGAGTGCTGTGATTAAAGGTGTGTGCCACACTGCCTGACTGCAAATGGTTCTTACAAGAGGACAAACTGCATGCTCACACAGATGTAGGTGCCTTTGCCTATTTTACATCCAGGGTTGGTCAAGTTCACAGATGTGGAATCAGTGGACATGGAGGGCCAATGTGTTCATAGTCAGCTGTCTTTGGCATTTGCCGGGCACTTGAGGATCACCTATGATGTGACGCTGCAGTCCATCCTCTGAGGACATTACAAAGAATGAAAAGAGGCACAAAGCAATGGGGTTCAAATAGAAAAACCTAGAGACTATTATAGTGATGGTTTATTTATTAATTAGTAAATTTTATTTAATTAATAAAATAATTAATAAATGAAATATCACTCTAAAGCAATGATACATTGTCCCAAGCTGCCCACTTTCCAAATGAAGGATTCACCAAATCTGTCTGCCCTCGCTTCTGCGTTAGTTAAGTTCTTTCAATGTAAGCCACACATATGCCCTCAAGTGTCTTTGTGCATTGGGTTGGAAGGATGCCTGAGCACAAGGATCCGCAGATGAAAACCAGAACCCCTCTGGCCTCAGAACAGACTAGCAAGATTCCTCTGTGTTCCAAGCACATCAGAGAGGCCTAGGCCAGTGCTTTCCGGATTTCAGCCCTGTGCCCCTCAGACATATCGCTTCTCCCTGTGCTGACCTCTGCTTGGTGTGCTTCAGCCTTCTGATCAGTTCAGTCTTCGGTCCAGTACTGCACCTGGGAGCATCTCCAGCCCGGCCCCATCCACAAGCAGGCCTGAGAGAGAAGCGGGGGTATTCCTGCCTGTCTGGACTCTCCACCCCGGGAGAGTTGAGGCTCCACAGAGCTTGTGCTAAATGCATTTCTCCTGAAGGTTTCTGCGTTTCATTGTTTCTGGCTTCGACATAATCCATTTTGAACCTTCTGGCCTTGATGTACACCAGGGGTCAGTGACTTTTTCTTAAAAGGCCAAGTAGCAGAATCTAGGTGATGACCCTCTGAAGTCTCAGTCACACGAGTTGGCCTTTCCCTCCAGGTTAAAATCTCAGGAAGAATGAATACAGTTGACCGAGCCCACTTCCTGCATCAGTCCTTGGTACCCAGGCTGCAAATTATTTCTCTGTACCCTTGAATCCATACCTACCAGGAGCTATCAGCCATGGCTGCACGGATGAAGACATGGCCGCCAGGCTGCGCCCCAGAAGCCAGCTGTAGCTTGACAGGCATGCAACTGAGGCCCACTGTCCAGCAAAGCGCAGGTTTATAGCCATTGTATAGACGGAACGGAAGAACAAGGGACTGAAAATGCTTAGAGATTAAATAGCTTGATTTTTAGAAAAGTAATTGGCATGGGTGTGTAGCTCAATGGAGCCTTACCCAACCTGTGTGAGGCCCTGGGTTCTAGGAATCCCCAGCACCAGTGAGTGAATGAGCAATGAATGAATAAATTGACCAAGTCAAGCAGGAAAACCTGCACTTCATTGCCATCTGCTGGCCAGAACGGGTATCAGGCTAAAGTTCTGTTAAAGAGGTTTCCTTGTATGTAGAAAGAACCTTTTTCTAAGAAAAGCTGTAGTTTCTTTCCTTAAAAGAATTTACTATTCTAAAAATGACATTTTATTTATAAGACAGCTGTGTAAAATTGTTTGTATTTTACATGAAAACATTTAGAAGAAACAAAGTTGGTATTTTTACCCAAAAAAGGAATAAGAGATAGATATTTTAAATATCTTTACATAATTAAGGAATATAGAAAAATAAATATGAAAATATTAGGGGAATAAAGAGATGTATCGGCAATTAAGAACACTTGCTGCTCTTGCAGAGGACCTGAGTTTAGTTTCCAGCACCCCACAGAACATCTCATAACTACCTGGGGTTCTGATGGTTTCGTCTAGGCTCTGTGGGTACGTGCACACACATATACATAAAGATAAATTATTAAAAATTGACAAAATAAAGAACCTAGACAGTAGTAGGCACCTGATCTTTGAAGGGAAGCCTAGCCTGAGCTCTCATGCCTTCCTTCTGCTGCCTGACCACCTGTATCTTCTCACTGAACGGTGTGCCGTGTCCCCTGCCTCTGGACACTTACACTAGACTCTTTCCCTCCCATAGTTCCTCCTGGCACGGCACGCCTGGCTGACCATCACATAATGACGTACCAAGCAGGACATCCATCCCTGCACGGCAGCCCTTGTCCACTTGCCAAGTCTGGTTGCCTCTCTCCTCTTCCTGCATAAGCTCCTGCCAGGCAGACCCCTCCAGAAAACCCCTCTGGAAAGCACTGTGACCTCCCATTGCAGGATTGTGAACTCCTGCTCTTTCTCAGTCCAGGAACACTGGGGCATCTGTGACAGGTCTTCTAAAACCCAGCCCACATCTTCCTCAAGCCTAAGTTCTCAAGCTGCCCAGGGTTCTCATGCTGTCTGCTTCCTGCCCACATCCTGGCTGAGTGTCAGTATCTATCCACCTACCTGTGCAGAGAAGATGATGACTGGGTCAAGGTCACACTACTCAGGCTGTGCTTCCCCTTGTGTTCTATTGGTTGTTTATTCTTTTCTCTTTTGACTCTTTAGCTCTTATTCTTTGGAGGCCTGCCACCCAGCTCCCAAATAAAACACACACAGAGTCTTATTACTTATGAATGCCCAGCCTTAGCTTGGCTCGTTCCTAGCCAGTTTTTCTTTTCCTAAATTATCCCATCTACCTTTTGCCTTGAGATTTTATCTTTCTCTATTTCTGCATCTTTACTTATTTCTCCGTGGCTTGCTGTGTAGCTAGGTAACTGAGCCCTGATGTCTTCCCCTCCTTGTTCTGTCTTGTTCCTTCTTTCCTCTTGCTCCTATATCTTCTTTCTATTTATTCTCTCTGCCTGCCAACCCTGCCTATCCTTTCTCCTCCTTTGCTATTGGCCATTCAGCTCTTTATTAGACCAATCAGGTGTTTTAGGCAGGCACAGCAACACAGCTTCACAGAGTTAAACAAATGCAACAAAAAATGCAACACATCTTTGCACCATTAAACAAATGTTCCACAGCATGAAGAAATATAATATTCTACAACACTTGTGCATACAGAAATCAAGACAGCTCCACAGCTTTGAACCATCCTTCCAACGTGAGACAGTGGTGTAGTCTGGCAATGCTTGAGTACTTTTTAAAGATATTTTTATTTTCATTTTATGTGCATGTGCGAGTTTCTACCTCTGTGTACATGTACTATGTGTGTATGGTATTCCAGGAGGCCAGAAAAGGATGCCAGATCCTCTGGAACTAGAGTTACAGGTGGTTGCGAGTTGCCCCGTGTGGGTACTGGGAATTGAACTTGGGTCCTCTGCAAGAGCAACAGGTGCTTTTAACTGCTGAGCCATCTCTCCAGCCGTGCTGAGACAATGTTTTAATGTGAGCTGCATGTTAGCCTTCTTTAAATTCTTAAATATCAGGACACATACTTCCACTGTCCTAAAGTACCTTATTCAGTGGTTTGTTGATTAACCCTTGGCCCTCGAAGCGGATGCAGTCAGACAGTGGTGACAGCCTCTGAGATTAACATTCCATGTGTTTTTTGTTTGTTTATTTGTTTATCTCCCTCTATTGCTGTCTTTCAGATCGCCATGAGGTTATCTCCAAAGAAATTTTGGAGCTGGACCCTTGGGAGAACCAGTGGAATGTTGTCGCCATCAACGTCCTCATGCATGACAGCTATGACGTCTGCCTGGTAGCTAGGATGAACCCCCGAGACCTCATCCCACCACCCTCAGATCTTATCGATGAGGGTGGTGACCACCGAGGGCAAAGATGAGGGTCGCGCAGCTGGAGGGGCCATAGCCTGGCAGCCAGGTCTCCAAATGCACGACCCAGCATACTGTGTGGTGCTGACGTTCTCAATGCATGCATAGCGGCTGCTGTGTAAAGCTGTACTGAGCCATGCAGGGCTGGCAGTACAGGGTCTTCCCTTAGGGGCATCCCAGCCTGATAGAGTAGATAGGACGGTGATGAGGGTCATGAGAGTGGGACAGGGAGTGCAGGGAAGGCGGCGCCCTCCTCTGCTGGGGGCTCAGGAACACGACAAGCAGTCCCATGGGTGCTTTTGATGATGACGTCCTGGGAGAGGCCAATCAAAGACCCTAAAGTAGGAAAGCCTGTGCCTGTCTGTGGCATCTAGTCTAGCCTGGTCACACGGCTTGCACACAAGATTTGTCCCTGAGAGCAGAAAGGTTATAACTAGGTGACCAGTGCCTGAAAGAGGGAGAGCATAGGTCTGGGCCTGGATAGAGGAGCCATCTTTCTTGGGGCTTTGCCCCAGCTTAGTCTTTCTGTTAGAACTGCCCTGACCTACAGCAACGGTGCCCACTGTGGGCCAAATGTTCGTACCTGAGCCCAGCTCTGTCTGGACCATGGGCCACAGTGAGCAGAGCATTCCTGGACACAGGAATTGGGGCTAGTCCTGTGTGTCTAGACTGAACCTGCCCAGCGCCTCTGCCCAGAGCCTCGGCCCAGCTCTCGGCTGTACAGGACCATCCTCAGGTTGACTGAACAGAGCAGGTCCAAACATGGGGGCCCAGGCTCTAGTGAGGAGAGAAGAGTCGCCTATTGCCACCTTCAGATCCCTCTCCTGGCTGGGAAGGTGAGGTAAAGCCTACTTCAGGGCGAGCAGGGCACAGTGAGCGCTCCCTAGATATGTTAGGGGTGATGTGCAAATTACACGTGGAAACCCATCTATTCTGCTTCCATTCATATTTCTGGATGCACAGCAGATCCAGTTGGTGGCTGTTCTCCAACAGCTTCACAAGAGCTCCCGTGTAAGCAGGGCGGATGCCCTGGGATCTTTCCGGAAAACAGCAAACCCTGCATGGAGACAGTGTGTGTGTGCTCTCCAGGTTCAACCCCTCCCTGACAGGAGAGGCAGGCTCAGTCAAAAGGAGCCACTTGACCTTGTTTCTGACACCAAGTTGGGAATTCTGGGGGCCCAGCACAGGTGTGCTCCAGAATGCTACACTCCGGGAGGCAGGGACCGTGCCTGTCTCTCTGGGGTCACCCCTAAGTCCCTGTTGCATGGGTAGAGTTGGAGTGATCTGAGTCTGTAAGGGACGTCAAGTTCCAGTGTCCTCATTCTGCCCCCTAGTGGAGGATGGTAATCTGAGGTTTCCTTTTCTGAGGCAAACCAGAGCTGCTCCTCGCATTGGCAGCCAGGATGTAAAGAGGCTTTACTGTGCCTCTGCCCCCCCCCCAACTCCCCTTCCAGAATCCCTGTCCCTGCTCACCACCTCGGCATGTTAGAAGTGGCCTGTCACCTGGATCGTGGGCTGTAGTGGTTTATCTTCTGAATGCACTGGCCACTTGGCAGCCAGGACCATGGCAGAACTTTTCTAAATCTTGCCTTCCTCCTATACAGAATGGGAAGGGAAAGCCCACATCCTTTACAGGGCTGGTGTGTGGACTGAGTGAGAAAATGCTGAGTGATAGACCGTGTTAAACACAAACACCATGAACAGGCTTTCGCTGCTGGCCTTCTTACTGCCACCATGCATTTCCCAGGACTAGGGGCAGAACAAATCAGAGCCCAGCCTTAGGGAGTATTAGACTTCAGCGAGAGAAGGGAATGTGTTTCAGTTGTTTCTGATTTCCCCATGCTTGGCTCCTTAGCAGTGATGAGGACTCCCTTGGGTCTTCAGCCCCTTGAGAACATAAGTAGACGCCTCCAGGGCATCATGGGTAGTGAGAGTCATCCTGGGCTAGGACACCATCGCTGTCAATGCTACCCGGGTATGAGAAAGCAGCTTTGCAGGGAAGATGGTGGGGAGGACTCAGGAGAGTGGCTGGACTCCCTGGAGCAGTCGTGCCGCAAGCTGGAGGAGAGGCAGGAGCTGGGACTATTCTCAGCCTGTTTCCCCACAGGTGTGTCCAAGGTCTTGGATGTCTGCTGTGAATTCCCTTTGTTCTGTATCCAGAACCAGAGAACAGGCTTGTGGGCTTTAGTGCTCACTTTCAGCTCAGGGTTTCTTGTCTGACTTTCCTATTTGTGATTCAAAACAACCCACGCTGCCCTCCCGGAGAACTATTGTTGGAGATTCCATTTGGACAGACCTCCTGTTACTCCTTCACTGTCACTGAAGGGCTTCTGACACTGCGTGAAGACCCTTAGAAAATGCCTGCTACTGGGGCTTCTTATCTTTGTGAGGCAGGATTGCTGGGCGCTGAGCGAGGAAACACAATGGGGAAGTAATTTGGATGCCGGGCTGATAAAGGCCTGCAGCTGTCAGCCTTACTGACTCAGTTCGAGCTCCGCAAGAGGCAGCATTGTTCTCAGGCTGACTTTATAATGAAGAAACGCTCTGACTGCGGACTTATAAAATACATTTTTGCTAATGAACAATTGCCCGCATTTGGTTTTCGTATTGTGGGTGAGTGTGAGTTTCGGTTGAACAAGAATCCCAGGGTCTGGTAAATGTGGTGTTCTCGGAGTGGGGAACATCATGTCAGAGAGTGGACAAGCAGGAAAGAAGCAGGTGGGGCGTTGGGCAAGGAGCAGCAGGTGGCCTGCTTCCGGGGCAGTACAGACTCCGGCCCTTCTCTACACAAAGCAGATGTGCAAACACCGCCCCCCTCTTACTCCCTTGATATAGCCCAAGCTGGCTTCAATTTTGCAATCCTCCTGCCTCTGCCTCCCGAGTGCTGGGATTACAGGTGTGCACCACCACTGCCAGCTATAGTTTCATCTCAGTAGGCAAAAATGCCAAGACCCCACATTTCCCGTGTTACTCTACAACCTCAGCAGAACAAATTACTATGGATTCAGAGGCTTAAACCAGCTCAAATTTATCCCCTTACAGTTCTGGAACTCAAGGGCTAAAGTCTTTGGTTGGGGCTGTGACTCTTCTGGAGGCTCTTGCCTTTTGTTGCCTCCAGAACTGCTGAGCTCTCTTGTTCTGAGGCCCCTTCCTCCATCTCCAGAACCAGCAACCACATGTCCAGGTCTACATCTTCTCTCTTCCTCTCCCACTTTCTAGGATGCTATGATGATATTGGTCCACCTGGATGATTCAGGGGAATTCTTGCTAAAGGTCAACTGACTGGCAACCTTCAGGCTAGTGGTGACCTTAGTCTCTGCCATGTAACAAAACATAAGCAGGGTCTGGCACAGATGTGGTGTGGTAAGGAGATAGATTTCCTGCCTATCATATCCAAGTCCTTTCTGTTGCCCATACAACAATCATACAGATACACAAATATTTTATTCCCCCACCTTCTGTTTCTCTGGTCAGGAAACGCAGGGGAAATGACAGAGGTATCCATACAGATGCCTTGGCAGCTGCCAGCATGTGTCCTAGGACCTTGCTTGCCTGTGAAGACACAAGAGGTCACCTCTACTCCCCAGAAGGCCTCTAGGGGCAGGGATGCACATCCGTGAGGAGCCACCATAGATAAAAACCCATATAGCAGAAGGGGAAAGTGAGAAGAGGGAGCCAGGTCATGACAGCATTGCAGAATACCCAAACTAAATCATCCCAAAAGCTAGCCTTGCCTCTGGGCCTTGCCAGAGTCAACATCTCATGTGAACCATCCCCAGGCTTCTTAACAGTGGCACAGGGAGGAGGGCATCATAAGCAGGAAGTAGGGGGTTTGAAGGGCAGGGGAGTCATAAGTTGTCATCTTGTCATCCAGACTCTGGCCGTTGATTGGGCACACAAGGGTTAAGGCATACCTAATCCACCTGGGCATGGGGCTAAGCAAAGGCAGCTGTGCAGTCCAGATACCTGCTGGGAAAGACTCCACACACTGGAGCCAGTTGCTCCCTCATCAGACCTGTTCCACAGTAAGGCCCGAAGGCAGAAACACTCCTCTTGAAAATGGCCAATCAGAAAACAGTGAGAACTCCAGCCAGGGAAGCTGGTAGGGAACTGCAGATCCTACCTCTCACTTCTCTAAATCCAGCTCCCAGCCTCTCCCTCAGCTCTCCAGCAACCATCTGCAGCCTCCTCCTTCCCCTTTCTCCCTTCCCCTCCTACCATCTTGGGTGGATCACACATCTTCCCCTTCAATCTTCCTTCCCCCAACTCATCACTTTACTCCAGCCCCAACTGCACAGGCATCCCCTGGGAACCCGACAGCCAACCCTGCCAGAAACCAAGTAGGCCAGCAGAGCAGGGAAGGTGAGCTTCACGTCTTCCCGCTCCCTCCTCATCTCCAGATCCAATCCCCAGTCTCATCCCCAGCTCTGTAGCAGACTACTTGTTGTGATCTCCCCTCCCTCTCTGCCCCAGCCCCAGGGAACTGAGCAGAGCCTGGTGGAATACCCTGCTTTCTTCCCTTCTGTAGACACCTCCCAGTCTCCCCCACCCCAGCCCATCCTCATTCATTAAGTGCCACCCCCCCAATACCTAGAAAAACATTTTACCCTGAACCCTTGGAGGCACACCTATCAAAATCCCTTAAGAATTCCCTACCAGGCAATTTACAGCTACCACACCCTCCTAAGAATGAAAGAGGGCAACAGAAATCAAGGAACAAAACACCCACCCAACAAAGACAAGCTCAGATAACAGCACCAGAAACCCTACCAGACTAGGCCCTGAGAATTACAACATAGCTGAAGCATAAAACAAAGACATGAAAATAGCCTTTATGGATATGATAGAGGAACTGAATAAATCCCCTGGAGAAATCGGGGAAAACACAAACAATGGAAGGAAAACAGCTCAAGACTGGAAAGTGAAATTAGAATCAACAAAGAAAAAACAGAACTAAGGGAACCTGGAAATGAAAAACTCAGGAACTCAAACAGGAACCTCAGAGACAAGCCTCTCCCACAGACTACAAGAGGTGGAAGAGAGGGGCTGGAGAGGTGGCTCAGCAGTGAAGAGCACTGGCTGCTCTTCCAGAGAACCTTACTTCAATTCCCAGCAACCACATGGTGGCTCACAACCATCTATAATGAGTTAGTGCCCTCTTCTGGCCTGCAGGCAGACATACAGCAGAACACTGTATATATAATACATACATACATACATACATACATACATACATACATACATACATCATACATCTTTAGAAAAAGAGGTGGAAGAGAGAATCTCAGGCATTGAAGACACAAGGGAAGAAATGTACACCTCAATCAAAGAAAATGTTAAATCCAAAATACTGGAGATACAGAACAAAGAAAGAATAATAAAAGCTGCAAGGGGAAATGACCAAGTAAAGGGAGACCTATTAGGATTACACCTAACTTCTCAGGGGAGACTCTGAAAGGCAGAAGGGCCCGGTCAGATGTTCTTCAGACTCTTAAGAGACCAAAGATGTCATCCCAGACAACTATACCCACCAAAACTTGCAATCACAATAGACGGAGAAAATAAGACATTATGTGATAAAACCAAATTTAAGGAATATTTATCTACAAATACAGCCCTTCCAAAGATTCTAGAAGGTAAATTCCACTTAAAGAGATAAACCACATCTAGATAAATCACAGGGAATAAATAATCCAAGATCAGCAATTCAAGAGGGGAAACACACTAACACCACCACAACAACAAAATAACAGGAATCAACAGACACTGCTCAGTGATATCTCTGAAGACCAATGCTCTCAATTCCCCAATAAAAAGACACAGGCTAACAATGGATGTGAAAACAGGAGCCATCCTTCTGCTGCATCCAAGAAACACACTTAACATCATTTGGACATCACCTCAGGGTAAAAGGATGGAAAAAGATGGTCCAAGCAAATGGACCTAAGAACCAAGCTGGTTAAGCCATTTTAATATCTGACAAAATAACATTTGAACCAAAACTAATCAGAAAAGATAGGGAGGGACACTACATACTCATCAAAGGGAAAACTCCACCAAAGGACATTGTGATTCTTAACATCTATGCACCAAACATAAGGGCACTCATGTTCCTATAAGAAACACTACTCAGCTTAAATCACATATTGGCCTTCAGAAACTGACAGTAGGAGACTCTAATACCCCACTCTTGCCAATAGACAGGTCATCCAGACAAAACCTGAACAGAAATGCTGGCGCTAACATATGTTATAAACCAAATGGCCCTAACAGATATTTACAGAACATTTCATTGAACACAAAAGAATACCTTTTTCTCGGTACCTCATGGACCTTTCTTTAAAACTGACCACATCCTCGGACACAAAACAAGTATCAACAGATACTTGAAGAAAATTGAAATAACACCCTTCATTCTGTCTGACCACCATCAATTAGAGTTGGATATCAACAACAACAGAAACAAACAGAAAGCTTACTAACTCATGGAAACTTACTAACTCACTACTGAATGAAAATAATGAGTCAAGACATAAGAAAGATGTTAGAGACTTCCTAGATTTGAATGAAAATGAATACACAATGTATGCTATACAGTGAAGGTGGTTCTAAGAGGCCAGTGGATGGCACTAAGTGCCTACATAAAAAAATCTGGAGAGGTCTCATACTAGTAATTTAACAGCACACCTGAAAGCTCTAGAACAACAAGAAGAAAGCACATCTAAAAGGAGTAGATGTCAAGAAATAATCAAAACACAGGGCTGAAATCAATAAAATAGAACAACAACAAAAAATACAAAGAATCAATGAAACAAAGAGCTGGTTGTTTGAGAAAATCAGTATGACTGACCAACCTTTATCCAAATTAACTAGCAGACAGAGAGAGAATATCCAAATTAACAAAATTAGGGATTAAGTGGGGGACATCAACAGACACCAAAGACATCCAAAGAATCATAAGAACAAACTTTAAAAACATGTACTCTAAAAAATTGGAAAACCTAAAGAAATGGATAATTTCTTGATACATACCACTTACCAAAGTTAAGATCAGATAAGGAATCTAAACAGACCTATTCCCCTAGAGAAATAGAAGCAGGCACTAAAAGTCTCTCAACCAGAAAAGGGCAACCCCAGATGGTTTTAGCACAAAATTATACCAGATTTTCAAAGAAGACAATGCCAATACTCCTCAAATTATTCCACAAAATAGAAACAGAAGGAACAGTGCCCAATCTGTTTTACAAGATAACAGTTACCTTGATACCTAAACCATATAAGGACCCAACAAAAGAGAATTACAGACTAATTTCTCTTATGAACATAGATGTAAAAATTCCTAATAAAATACTTACAAACCAAACCCAAGAACACATAGAAAAGATAATCTACCATGATCAAGTAGGCTTCATCCTAGAGCTGAGCCTTTGGAGTTTGACTAAAGAGGTCCAGAAGAAAAAGGTCACTCTGGCCCAGTGTCTATAGGTCAAAATCACAGTCAAATGCTAGTCAGAGCCAAGTCCTGCCACTCATAAAGGAAAGTGACATCTAGCACTTATCGTTGTGGCCAGAAAGACACTTGACAACAAAATAATATGACATTGTGACTCGGTGCTTTGTATC